CGCTCCCCGCACCTCCCCAACCCGCTCCTGGCTCCCAGCCCGGCTCTGCCCCGCTCCCCGCACCTCCCCAACCCGCTCCTTTCTGCTGCCTGGACTCCCCTGCCCTGATTTCACCCAGCCGGGCTTCCTCTTACTGCTGTCTTGCAAGCCTTTCCCCCCTTCCCCCTGAAGAAGCAGCCTGGCTGCCTGTCTTTCCCCCAGTGCCACCCTTGCAGCGCCTGCTGTCTCATTTGTCTTTATTTTGTTGTTGGTGTGTTTCACTGTCAAATGTGCCAGCGAGGCCCCTGCCCGCCACCCGCCCCGCGTGGTTCTTCTGCGCCTCATGCTGGCAGCACCCTGCCTTTGGTGGCATGCGGTTTCGGGCTGCCATGGGTAGCCGTTTCCCAAGCTTGTCCAGTTTTAGCCGATTTTCTTTCCCCAGGACCCTGGGGACTTCTAGTGAGTGCTGACTGTTGCAGAAACAGGCCAGTAGGTGGGATCCATGTGATGCGACTGACAAAACAGCTCGCTGCCTGCTCTTTTTAAGACGGCTCTCTGTATTTAAATTGCTCGTGGGCTTGTTAAAGGTCTGTGAAGATGACAGGCAGGCCGGGTTCTGCAAAAGGAGGGGACAGTTCAACTTCCCTTGCTTTGCAGGTCTGGACTCCTTGCCTGAGCACGAATGAGCAGGGTTTGACCCAGTGACCCAGTAATGTTTCTAAAAGCGGGGAGGAAGGGCCAAACGCTCTGCTGGAGGAAGTGGGTGACCTCCATCGGAGCTGATAGCATTGTGCCCATTTCTGCCAACAGACAGCAAGTTACCCAGAGCGAGTCCGCTTGCCCTACTCATGTGGGTTAGTGGGATCAGGAAGTAGCTAAGCAGGGTTTTATCCCTTAGGATTTGGAACAGTTATTTCAAGGAAAAGACATATTCCAGCAGCCCACAACAGTGCATGGAAAATAGCCGGTATTCCCGTGAACCATGTGGGTCATTTTTGCAAAGTCAGCAAAGCTGTATTCATGCGGTTTATGAATATTAGCACTGTTTCAAGACTCGGGGCTACTAGGCTTCAGTGTAAACTAATTCTGGCTCCAAAAAGCTCACGAGGAGCCGGGTGGAAATCACACGCTGCTTTTTCCGGTAAAGCGCGTTTATGGTGTTTTTTAACATCTGCAAGCAGCCCCTTCCTGTGATTTATTTTGTGGGCACAAACAGTTAACTTGGCTATCCGTGATGCCACTCATTTCAAGCCAAGTAGAAATATCAAGGCAAGCCACCCAAAACTATGCTTCTAAAGCACGTGTCCTACTCAGGGAGAAAATAGTTGAACTGTGGCAAAATACACACAGCCTCGCCCAGGGAAAACCTGCTTTCTAAAAATGACTTTCAGGGGGAAAACCCTGTGTGGAAATCATATGGCTGGGAGTTCCAAGTCCAAGAGGCAGAAAAATGAAAGGTCTGGAGGGGCAAGGGCATGGACCCGCTGTGACCTGGCCATGCCTAGGGAAGTAGAAATTGAACTTGTAGCACAGCTCTGCTCAGAAGAGTGAAACAACGTGGTGAAAGTACTTTCTTGAAGCTAAGTGGGTGACTCTTATCTTGTTGAAATGATAAGGAACCGGCATAAGCAGGCAGGAAAATAGCTCTGCAAGCTCTCCAGGCTTTGTGTGTCAGAAGCAGCATGCCCTGTACAGGCCTCCCCCCAAATTTTGCCCCACAGATTTTGAGCATTTCAGACTTAGGTTTCAGTGGGGAAAAACTAACAGGGTTGTAGAGTGTCCCTTCAGTTTTCACATGGGACAGCGTTCAGCTGCTCTCATGATATGGTCCCATGTCTCCTGGATCCACTTGAGGCCCCAGTCTGGGGTTCATGCGGGGGGAGAGAGTGAAGATGGGGTGAACCAAGGGTGGACTAATGAACGTGTCTCCTCCCGCCTCATGGAAATGATGCACCATTGCACCTTAATGCAGTCATTTGGAGCCCTAGTCATAGGCGCGGAGCATGTAGGGGTCCGAGGGCTCTGGCCACCCTCGAGAAGAGGGTAGGGTGACCACCTGTCCCTAATGGGATGGGACAGTCCTGAAATGGGAACATCAAGTCCCAGTCCTGGGCTGCATGACTCGGGGACAGCATTTGTCTCAGATTCGTGCAGCGATCTGGGTTTTCCGGCCAACACTGCAGAAAAACACAGGAAATGGCAGGTTTCCCCTTGCAGGCTGGCAGAGTTCCAGCCTGCAAGGGGCTGCGGGGAGCGGGACGCAGGGGGCTCCCAGTGCGTGCATGTGTGCACACATGCACGTGGCCAGGAATACAACCCAAGGCAGTGCTGGAGAGCAGCTCCCCCAGCTGCCTGCAGGTGAGCCTATGGGGAGACAGATTGAGGGCTCCAACAGCGAGGGAGGGAGTGGGGCAGGAGCTGGACCTGGGGGTGGTGCATAGTGCTGGGGCAAGGAGCGGGACAGAGCCACGGATAGCTCATCCAGGGGGCAGGGGGGGTTGGCTCCCTGCCACTGCATGCACTCCTGGGGAGGGGGAAATAGGGGAACACAATGTGCCCCCTCCCCTGCCTGCCTGGCAGCAGCGGGGAGCAGCGGTGCAAACTTGTGTCCCCCGTTGTTGCTGGGCAGGCAGGGGGTGCCTTGCTATGGCAGCACTGCCAACACAGGGCTCTCAGGGGGAGGGCAGCAGGGTGGGAAGCCCCAAGTCCTCAGCGGGCAGCCCACATCCACCCCTGCCCCCCCCCCCCACAGGCTCCACTTGGCTCTGCTCCAGCCGTACGGCCAGGGGTGAGGGGAGACTGACATGTGTCCCGCCTTTCAAAGGTGGTCACCCTAGAAGAGGGCTGCCACATGTCCATCATCTTAGGCTCCCCCTGGCAAAAATAAAAGTCAGCGAATATGGCCCTAGTAACTTTGGCATGTAGCCCCCTTTAGTCAGTGATGGCCAAGGCTATATGGGATTTCAGCAGCAGTGATGGCAGCTATGTGGGATTTCAAGATACCAAGTGTCTGTGGGGAGAGGCAGCGATGGGGGTGGCTAAAACAAATGCAGAGGCACAGGGTCTCCAGGCAGGTGGAGATAGCTTCTGCTGGGATGTGCCCTGAATCCTTTGGTGTTAGCCCCACCACCTGAGTCATTAAGCCCCCCACCAGAGCCCATTTCTTTCATAGACACCTAGGCCAAGCATCCTAACTATGCAGAGAGCACCTGGGTGGGTCCTGCTGCTGTTTGGCTGCCACGCCTGGCTGCTAGTTTAGGGGGTCCAAGTTCTGTGACAATGCAGGCAATGGCAATTATAGACCCTTCCAAGTTGGTTGCATCAAGGCATCTAGACAGCTAAAACTCCTTTAATTTTTGGTTTGTGTTAAGAGGTGCATAGACCTGACAGAAAAGTCAGAGTTGCAAAAATCAAGCTGCTGAATGTATGAAAAGTCCATTTCAGTGGGTTTCCTGTTGTGTGCAGCATTTTTCATGGTGCCCTATAGAGGAGTTGTGTGGCCTGGGTGACCTCCAGGTCAGTAGTCTTGCTGTTCCCTTTTTGAACACTCTGCAGATGATAAAGGAGAGCAAGAGGACCAGCATATGGTACAGTGCATTACAGTAATTAACCTCAAAGTGATGAATGCTTGGGTCAGGATTTTGGCACCTGTCAGAGGAAGCAAAGCAACCTGGCAGTGGCTAGATGGTGAAGGGTTATATGGACCAGGGGACTTAAAATGTTAGCTGAGAGGAAGCACTACATCAAAGATGATGCCTAACTCTGAGACAATTAAGAGCTTGCCCCCATGTGAGGACTTTGCCATAATGTAGCAGCTGAGGCTGCAATGCTGATGTCCAACCAAACAAGGACAGTACAAGGACCTAAGTCAGAGCTCGGCGTAATATCATTTCTGACTGTAGCAAGACCAAGTTTAGTACTGAGTTTTGATTAGAAGATGAGCAATGGCCAAGCATACTGGCTGCGATCAATTCATTGGAAACATGAAACAGATCTGATCGGCTGCTAACGGCAGTAGACCAGGCTTATTTTCTTTTTTCTTTTGCTGAATCAAATGTAATGACAACACGTCTTGAAATGGTGGAAGCCTTTAGCCACTCGCTTAGGCCTCTCCATAGGTGTCTGAAGCCTTTGCATACGTGATGATTGGGTGGAGTGGGTCAAAATGGAAAAACTGGCAGTTAAAGCTAGTTTTGAGGCACATTCACCTTGGACAAGTTTGCAGCTGTACAAACACTCAGCTCCTCTGTTTATGGTCCTCTGGGCAAAGCTGGTTTTGACATTGATGTATGTGGGGTCCTGACACATGTACAGAGCTGTAACTTGGCTTCATCCAGACTTCCATGTGCCATTCACCCGTGCTTATTCTACACACCAAGGGCACTTGGTCTAGTTTCTCAGAGGGGTCTCTGTTTTGCACGTTGCATAAAGGACCTCTCTCCCCGGGAGCTGAAGCACAGCAGCATGTAAAACCTGATGTAAAATACTGCCTTAGAGCTACCACCGGCAATGGATTATTGCTGAGGCCAGGTTTTCTGAAAGGAGAACGATAGCTCATGGTAGGTGAATGGAAATGAAAAACGAATGCTGGGGTTAAAGAACTGAAGCTCTTTGCAAGGGCCCAATTGCTGCCAGCTATTTTAGATACCTGCTTAACAACGCACATAAGCAATCCCATTGATCAGCGTTTGTTGATGAATTTGCAGAATTGGCATTTAGGCCTAAAAAGGCCAAATTCAAGCTGTGTTGTTTTTCAGAAATCAGATGAAAAGAGACCTTTCTTAAATGAGCATGGGCACAGGTGGAAACGTGGAAAATTTAACCTGTTTCCACCTTCGTTAAATGAAAAAGATTCAAGGGCAATTGGAGTTCTGGAAAGTTAAAAACCTTCTCACTTCCAGGGACTGAAGTTGAGTGAGTTCAGAACTAGTGTTAATGAACACGGAGAATCCAAGCAGGATAAAAATAGATCTTTCTGAATATGAAGAATATATGAATATATAGAGGACTTGAGCTATGTGTCTACATTCAGACAGCTGTAGAAGGCCATGTTGCATTATGAAATCTCCTGCCTACTGATCACAATCACCATTATTAGAAACAGGCCTAACTCTGATCCTTTCACTCATAAAAAGACAAGTTCATTTCTGGGAGGATTTTGCCTGAGTAAAGAATGCAGGAGGCACCAGGTAGATAATGCTTGTGTCAAAAGAATAAGATTTGCTTAAAATAATTTTCTACCAGATACACATTTTTTTTGTTGATTGACAAGGATGTTTTCTAGCCTTTCTAGAGTTTTGAAATAAATAATGGTTTTTTGTGTCATGTCCCTCAATTACATCTATAGATATCTCACATGACATGTTGCTAAAACAGGTGACGTGAAACAGATACACCTAGTAATACTTTATATCACTTTGTCCCTGATATCATCCGAAGGAACGAAATAGCATTACTAAATTGCTCGGCCCAATATCAAGAACTGGGTCTCTTGATTTTTTTAAAGTTTTCTATACATCTCTCAGGTGAATTTTCACTGAAGCAACAGGTTTCTTAGCTCCGCAGGAAGGGACACTTGCTTGTCCACAGTCTGCTACAAGTCTGTTCTTTCAAGCAGGGAAACGGTAAATGATCTCCGTATGATCAGTGTGCCCAAGGGTGTCAGGCCTAAGGGCTGGGCTTTGGTGAAGTGGGGGCTAAACCTGTAAGAATTGTACTTGTTCATTTGGCGGAGGGCATTTGTCATCTCTAACCTGACTCTTGCTTCTGGTTAAGAGCAATCTAGTCTGCACCTGGTGTGGGTCCGTGGCACGGAGTGGAAAATCTCTTTATTCCCTGGCCTATCCAGTCCACCTTGTTGCGGTTGTAAAACAGGATACCATACATTTTAGACACAAAAATAGTCTTGCGGGTATTTTTGGTGGTGGTGTATCTCCGGACTCGAGATGTAATGAAACACAAATGCCGCATATGAGTTTTCTGAATATTTTATAATGTGGGTTCTTTCTGTTTGCGTGTGCTACTAACTAAACTATTTCATAACAGAAGACAAGAGCTTAAATGAATCCACCAGCCATATTCAGTGTTTAGGTTTTATTCCTGAACTCCTAGGTTTTATTCCTGGATTTGCCAGTAAATTATGATATGACCTTGGGCAAGTCATTCAGTATGTTCTTCATATCTACTTATCTAGCCTGCTGCTAGGTTCTAAGCTAAAAACTCTACTAGAAATGCATTATGAATTATATTATTTTATTATGTTTTATTATTATTTGGTTATTCTCTTAGACTGTAATAGAAATCTTAGGCAAAAACTATTGGACATTTTAAATCCTGCTTGTGGACTGCAATGCTTCCTTGAGACGAGTCAGCAGACACTTTGCCACAAATAACAGTATTTACTGTACTTTTTACAGGATCCGGCAGGGATATTTGAACTGGTGCAAGTTGTTGGAAATGGGACGTATGGACAAGTCTATAAGGTTTGACTCCTTTTTAATTTATAAGGTCTTTCTTGCCAAAACTGTTGCCCTTTAGCAAAAACATTGCAGATGTGGAAGGAGCTGTTCCCAAACTAGCTTGCTTTGTCTCGCTGCCTGCTTGTGCGCGATTCTGATGTGTGACAGCTGGGAAATTCCCTGCATTGTCTTCCCATCTCGTTTTCATGTTCCCCTGCCATTGTGGGTCAGCTTGCTGCGCTGGTTTTTGCACTGCTGTCCTTCCTGCCGTGGTCTGCCTGTTTTGTGGTCATTTTTACTTTAAAACTATTTTCATAGCTTGCAAGCACAATCCAGATCTAGCAATAATAACATCAATCACTAGCACTTTGCTAGTGCAGGCAGTGCCCGGTTTTCGTGGAGTAGACAAAAAGGCATGGACTGACATAGCCATATTGTGCGGGACACTGGCACAAGGGACACTTCATTGCGGTGCTGCAGGGGAGCTGAAAAATGGACTAGACGTCCCTTATTGTGTTGACCGCTGAGTCACCAGGCCCATCCCTTAATTCTGTCAATGGGGTATGCACCTACTATAACGTGGTGGGCATACTTGACCACACTCAATTTGCTTTGCAGTGGCAGTCAGTGGGCAGGTTGATACTGTTCCCATGGTACTCCTGAAAGCACCTGGAGGAAACACGTTCCCCTTCCTACAACACCAATCTGGGAAACCTAGTAATATGAAACAGATAGGTTTCAGAGAGGCAGTGAAGCCTCTTTGTCTCCTGCCTGATTGAGAACGGCGGCCGAGAGCCCTAGGCTAAGCCTCGCTCTCCTGTCCTCATGTGACCTGTGCGCAGTGCAAGCAGGTTGGTGGGGGCACGTTGGTTGGGGGCACTCTCAGGACGACTGCGGAAGTGGTGCAGACGTGCCCAGGGATACAGAACTGATCTGAGAAGTGGGTTTGGGGAAGGCATACAGGAAACAAACAGCAGTCTTTCAGTCGTGTGGCCTTCTGTAGGGTCGATTTGAAAAGGGAAAACAGACACAGTGATTGTAAGCTTTGATCGGGGTGTCACAAGAGTTGGACACCTATCTTGCTGGGATCCTTTGTCCCTAGCTGACTTCCTGCCCCTGGGGCAGGGGGCTAGACACAATGATCTTCTGAGGTCCCTTCCAGTCCTAACGTCTATGAAATCTATGAAGAGTTGTCCATCAAGGGCACCAGGTGGGAGAAAAGAGCAGCAGGAGTAGGAAGGGCTCCATGACCTTCCACCCTCTCCATCTTTTCCCCCCAGGAATGAGCTCCTTCAGTCTTGCATAACACATTGGACACTGCTTATCACCAAGCCCTGCTGCTGCAATGACCTCTAATGCAGGAAGGCTTAGGGAAAGGTCTCATCCAGGGGACCCAAGGTCAGGCTCTAGCCCAGTAGCTGAGGCTTCCCAATTCCAGTCCCATCACATCCAGGTTTGATGGCATGTGTGACTCTGCTCTGTGCATCCAAGGGGGGACATTTCCACACTGAGCAGCATCAAGCTTAGTGAGAAATGGGGAAGGAAAGGTACAGAGTCAGCCACAAATGAGTAAAAATTAGAACATAGATGTGTGCATGTGTAGAGTCACAGAACTAGGAGGAAAGACAATCAAATGCAGGAAAGGAGGGTGGACACCTGGGAGTCGGTGTTTTCTGCCAGTTCCTGATGGGGATCGGTGCTCTCACCACCTAACCCAGTATCGATGGAGTTTCTACTAGAGACAAAAGCCTGGGAGATGCCCGCAATGTAGAGCACATCTTACCCAAGAGGGTCTCTGGTGGAAACCTCGCTGTGAAATGCCTGGTAGTGTTAATGAGAACCATTTGGTTTTGTGCATCTGACACAGTGTGAAGTATTAGCACATTTCAGGTCCTGGTTTGAGCTTTTAAAGATCGATTGATGCTTTATGAAAAAATCTATGAAACTTTAACTGGAGAGACTGTTTTACCGATGAATCTTATTGTTCTGCCTTTCCGTCCTTCATTTTTCTGTATTTTACAATAAGACCCTAGTCTTGTGTCTTTCCATCCGCTGCAGTTATTAAATCCCACTTGCTTGGCTTCCATAGCTGTGATGAGGATTATGGAGTCCAAAATAGAAATAAACATTTAGGGTCACCGAAAGCAATGGAGCTGCTTGGGTTTAACTGAGGACAGGATCTTGAAGCCTTCAAAAATTGCCGCTGAATAATTTTCCCTCGTAATATAAACTAAACCTAGACATGACACGGGGAGCATTATTTCTGTCATCATCTTTCAAAGATGTTGGGGTTGAATCAGCTGCTGCTTACTCATGCTAATAGAAAAAAAGGGGGGAAAAATCTTATTTCAGCTTCTTTGTTTAAAAAAGGAAAAACATGGAGAGAGGTTCAGCTGAATGCTGAAGTGCAAAAGCACGTGAGAAATGTTGACAGTACTAATTAAGAGTAGTGCCGAAGGCAGTGGAGGCCAACTTTTTTGGCAGGCATGCCACTAGCTAAGCCCTGCACCCTCTCTAAGTGTCATTCTGATCCCCTTCCCCTGCTCCCTGCCCTATATGCCACTGTGTTGCTGGCCGATGCCTAGCCAACCTCTTAAAAACCTCCGGCAAAGATTACACCACTTCCCTGGGCAGCCTCTTCCACAGCAGAGACAGTCGAGCTATCAGAGCTCAGACAGTAAGAGACTTCATCGTAATCCAAAGGGGCAGATCCCAACATAACTGAGATTTGAACCTAGCCTGTAAATACTGAAAGAGCACATTTTGGCACCTTATCGAACAGTTTGCTGAATTAGAAACCTAGGTTTGATTCATCCTATTTTCACCGCTATACCTTTGACTCTTGGTGCCATGCTCACATCGCAGCGTTGTTCATGTTGAGCTCAACGATCAGTGAATATTGGAATAATGGGAGAAGATCCAGTTAATCAGGAAATGAAAGGCAGAAACATACAATTAAGTCATCTGATCGAGGAGCATAAATAACATCATGTGGTTAGGTGACCAGACATAAAGCTTGCATAGCAAATTCCAAATATTACGTAATTGGTTGAACGTGCCAGATTGAGCAAATTTTCACACAACCAGAGCTCAACTTTGTTTGTAAATACTTTTTGAAAAAAATCTGCATAATAAGCATATGAGTATAATCCTAATCTATGGGCAAGAAAAGGGCTAAATTCATTAAACTAATATTTTGACTAGCTATAATGGAAATATTCCATTTAAAGTGACCATAAAAAGTGAAGGTCATGGTATTTGCATTTTCCCTTCTGTTGTATAATTTATCCTTTGGGCTGTACTTCGCTGAGACTGGTGAGGAGATGCTGGAATCGGTTTTTAGTTTATGCCTAGTCAGAGCATAGACTGGTGGTCATAAATATTTTGGACAGAAAGTAATTCCAGCTATCCTCATACTTAGTTATGGCATTAGCCCATGTTTTCATTCTTCGGGGACAGCCACGTATCCCATATGTACGAAAACAGACACAGATGCACATAAACAACCCGTAACAGCCCAGGCTAAACAAATCCTATGCAAAATTGCTAATTAAAGTCCGTTGGCTATAGAAGATCGGACCCGTTATGCTATTTTTCTTTTTCTTTTTTTTTTAACAAGAATTACATAACTCTAAATATGTTTTCATCCTTACATGGAAGAAACTAACTGATTTTCTGAAATGAATATGGTGTAGATGCGTGGTAGGTGTGGATCAGGTTCAGTTCTCTGCCAGGTAACAATTGCCAGACTACCTGTTAACTGTACTCACGAGAGTGCTGCAGCTGCCGAGAACTGTTATAGTGTTAGAGTTTGAACAAGTGACTGTAGGCAAAAGCAACACATTTCCATACCTAGGAGGTGTTAAGGCAGCGCTTCCCATCCTTTTCTTCAGGATGACCCCATTTATGACCCCATTTCCTGAGCATGGCCCCGCAATCCCCCCAGCAGCCCTTCCCCATCTGCAGCCAGTGCCCCTCACCCCTCCCAGCCCTCACTTATGACCTGCAGCCCCCTGACCACCCCGCAGCTCTGCCCAAGGGGGCCCTTAGCAGCCAGGGCTATGGGACCAGAGCAGCGCCCAAGCCCTGGCTGCTGAGAGTGTGGAGCCCAGCTCCCTCAGCTTGCCCCTCTCCCCACATGTGGCACAGCTGGAGTAGAGACCATGTGGGAGGAGGATGTGGGCTGCCCGCTGTGGGCGCAGGGCTCCCTGCCCTCTCCACAAGGGCCTCCATGGCTCAGCAGGTGGGACCTGGAGCAGGACAGCTGGAAGCCCCATGCCGGCTGTGCTGCCATGGCGAGGTGCCCCCAGCCCACCTGGCAGCAGCAGCGACACCAAGTTGTGCCCCCCATTGCTACCAGGTGAGCAGGGGTGGCCTTGCCATGGTGTTGGCCTGGCCAGCTTGGGGCTCCCGGCAGTAGCACTGAGTCTCCCTGCCCCGCTGGGTTGCAGAGGCCATAGGGGGAGGACAGCAGGGCGGGGAGCCCCGAGCCTGCAGCGGGCAGCCCACATCCATCCCTGCCACGCACACAACCCCCACCCCCCGTGCCTCCCTCCCTGGGAATGCATGCAGCAGTGGGGAGCCAGCACCCCATTGCACCCTAAATGAGCCTCACTGGGGAGGTCTCAATCTACTCCCCGCTCCCCACAGATGGGCCTCAATCTACCCCCCACTCCCACAGACTTGTGTGGAGGGAGCTGTGGGAGCTGCTGTGCATACTGCCTGGCTGCCACGTGCATACATGGTGCCCACGGCCTGCTTGCCCTCCTCCCGCTCCCCCCCCAGCCCCAAGCAGCCCCTGGCAGGCTGTAATTCTGCCAGCCTGCAAGGGCAACCCACCACTTCCTGCTTTTTTTACTCCTTTAAAGGAGAAAATCTGTGATTGTCTTTGTGACCCCATTTTTTACTGTTGTGACCCCAAGGTGGGGAGCCACTTCGTTAAGGGTCTAGATGGAAGTGTTGGCAACCTCAAACATCCAGGAATCACACGTCAAGTGATTTAAGTTTTTAAAAAGCATGACCGC